ATCAAATTTCGTTGCACCATATTTTATTTGCTGTGATGATTTTTTTTTTTTAACGGTCTGATTAATTTAAATATAGATATAAAATGGGGTGTAATTAAAATATCAAAGTTCGTTGCACCATATTTTCCATATCAGGTTAAATCTTTTTTTTTATTATAAACTGTGTCATTTTTTAAGTTTTACGTTGGTTAGCGAAGAGCAGGATATGAAATGTGACATTTTGACTTGTGGCTATTAGTTCAAAAATATTGTTACATGAATAAGGTGGGGGGGGGGAGAGAAAGCTTGTTGGCAGATTGTTAGGAAACACTTCAACGGTTAATAATCCTTGTAATGAAAAAAAAATCTCATAAATGTACTGTGGCTGATGGAGTTCATGTAAAGGTCATATTTGTCTTTATGTTAGGAAGTAAATTAACCTGACATCTTCAAATGTTGTTTTATGCTTTTTAATAACAGAAATGATTCCCTTACCGTTTGTGTTTGTGGTAAGATGTGAACTGTTTATTTGTTTTCTTTTTTCAATAAAAGGATTTGTCCAGATTTTTTTCCTGAAAAGATGACAAATATGGCAGTAGATGCCAAAAAAATTTTAATATTCTTCATGGATATGAATTAAGATTTAAGAATAACTAACTTAAGGACTCACAATATCGAGAGCTTTAAACAACATGAAATCTCAATTTGCATTCATTAGAAAATAAATTGAAATTTTAATGCTATGCTAAATTTAGTACTAAGTATATAAGATATTGACTCATTGGGTTGCAATTTAAATTGTTCATTTTCTTTTTTAATAATATTTCTTAGGATGATCCAAAACAGTCATTTTAGTCATATTTTAAACAACAGATAAGTTCTTAATTGCTCTTAAGTAGTACCAGTGGAAGAAAGGAAAGCATGACATGTAGAGATAAAGCATTATTTTTGGGTGGTATTCAGTAAAGGCTAGGGTTTAGGGGTGATGGTTAAATGGTAGCTACTCTGAAAGCTGCAAGAGGCATCTCCCAGACAGTTGTGCGCAGGGTTTACAACCATGTCACATAAGAAATCAATTGGTACGAAAGCTAAACCTCACATAAAAAAGAGACTGATAACGTTGGATTTCAATCTATGTCTAATACTTAAGCACCATTGAACAATCACAAACTACTTCCAGAGAGGTATTGCAGAACAACAGCCATCAGGAACTTTACAAGAGAACGCCGTATCAAGCTCTGTTTGGCTGCAAAGCTAAAGTGGGCCTTGCAACGTCTTCAATATCCCCTGACTTTTTGCAAGAACTCGAAAAAATAATAGAAAGTGTAAAAACAACACAGCAGGAAGAAGCAAATCGCCAGATGCAAGATACAGAGCCTGCTATACAGAATACTGAAGAGAATGCAACCAGTAATGGAGGAAACCAAACTGATTGTGACGTCATGGTTACCGAAGAGCCTTCAACTTCTGGTATTTGTTGTGTCTGCTTAAAAGAAAGCAGCGGTGCCCATACACGCTGAAACTGTCACCGTAATGTTCATGTGATCTGTTGACATGCTGCTAAAGACGATGGAGACGAGGAAATAGAAGGTTATGGTGTTGGTATTTCGTGCAGCTTGTGTTTCAAGATGAAGAGAGCTATAGGGGCTAGAAAATAATCTAAATCAAACCTTGAAATCCAGGCCAAAAAAATGAAAATAAACTCTGAAAAGAAGTTCCCGCCTGCACCTTTAAGAGCCACTGTGCGAGTTTCTATTCTTGACGTTGACAAGGGACGAGGTGACTCGGGCAATCTGTTGGCAGTTGTTATGACAGAGACAGAAGACGGCTTTTACCGACTTTCGAACTGCACAAGGAATCTTGAGACAATTGTATTCGAGAGCACAGTTCGCTGTATGTCCAAAAGATGTATTGAGAGTAGAAGACTCCCGGCCCGTGAAATACCTCTCCGATCTGCTGCTATCTCTCAGTCAATAGGAAGCGGTCAAGGATACGTGAGGTGTATGTGCAAGACCAGGTGCCAAAGCATGAAGTGTCTTTGTTTGAAAAAGAAAATTAAGTGCAATTCAAAATGCCAGTCCAGCCTTACTTGCTGCAACAAGTAGCTCGATGTCACCTTTGCTTGCCTTACTTGCCGGAACATGTAGCTCGATGTCACCTTTGCTTGCCTTACTTGCTGCAACAAGTAGCTCGATGTCACCTTTGCTTGCCTTACTTGCTGCAACAAGTAGCTCGATGTCACCTTTGCTTGCCTTGCTTGCTGGAACATGTAGCTCGATGTCACCTTTGCTTGCCTTACTTGCTGCAACATGTAGCTCGATGTCACCTTTGCTTGCCTTACTTGCTGCAACAAGTAGCTCGATGATACCTTTGCTTTCCAGTTGTATTGTTATCTTTCGTATTCAAATGTGTTTTTCCAATAAAAAAAATTCTTTACGCTCTTTTGAAACTTTGCCTAAAGTATATTTGTCATTATATATAATACCTAGGCAATGTATAAAATGCCTAGGCAAAGTATGTAACTTAATCACCAAAAAAAATAGTTCATACTTTGCCTTAAATCGCTAGGCATTCTATATAATGCCTAGGCATTCTATACAAGGCCTGCATTTAACACATTGCCGGTAACATATACATTTTAATGGGTTTTTAAAACTAGAAATTTACACAAATCTTAAATGAACGGATTTTTATCAATAAAATAAAAACGAAATTTTTTTTACAAAATCAAAATTGAGTTTTATTAATTTGTAAATTTATCTAAGGAAATCGTATACAATTAAAGCATATATTTCCCAAAATTCCATTAATTAAAATGCTGGGTTTTTTTTCCTTGAAAAACAATATAACTTTTTTCAGAAAGATTACAAATTGGCTCTTATATCTACTTAAAAAGATTTTTTTAATCCATATAATATATTTAAAATTGAATACAATAGGACAGAGATTTTAAAAAAAACTAATATCAACAGAAAAACTTGACATAGTCCAAATATCAGTACAAAAAAACCCAATTTTTTACATATTTGAGAGCCCACAATCAATTAATTGATCATTTTGGCTATTGTTTTTTATATCAGAGTTTGCCTTTTCTTAGATGAGTTGCCGTCCAAGGCTAATAAGTTCCATCCACCATGTGTTGCTTTTGATGGTGGCATTGGTGGGGATTAAACTCAGGACAGCTAGCCATTTGGTTTGTGTCAGTATATGGTCCTAATTTATAGACCACTCTGTAGATTCTCATATTAAAATATATTTATTTAAAAAGAAATTTGTGCGAGTAGATGGGACATAATAAGTGTAACCTAAATATATATTTTTACCTCTATTATTTAGGAACTTAGTCTCAAGTACAACATTTAGGTATAATGATTGTTGAAATTTACCTTTTTTAATTCGCCAGTTAAATTCATGCATCCTTATTTTAAAAGTAGTAATTTTATAATATTATTTAAAATGAAAAATATTGCGCATGTTTGATACTTAACAATAAATATTATAAAAAATTTAGAAAAATATGAATATAAAGTAATTTAATGACGCGTTATTTAAGTCTTTAAACTTGTGAATTACCAAAAAATAAATGCATAAAAATATCGATATGCGAACACCATGAAGTAAGACTTTGGCATATCATCTGGAGAGACCAGTTAGATATTTATAATCGACGACTTAACGCCTTTAACAAGATTAACCTTAACTCTACGGATCATCAAATGTTCCGAGCGTAACGATATTTGAGATTTTGCAAAAATTGTAATGGTTGAAAGGCGCTAAATACTATTCTTTTCAAATGGTTTTGAAATGAAAATTAAGTCGTTTTTAAATTTTTTTTAAAAAATAAAAATAATCGTTTTAATCTTGCACACATTTTTTTTTGAGGGGTCGGGCGCGTGAGTGTTTCCCGGGAGTGCGGTTTCATTATATATATTTTGCGGATCATTACCAAACCCTTTTCTAAAGAATTTTCTTGGCACAATTTAATATAAGTATTCAAATGGGTAAAAATTAAAATCAATATAAATAATCAATGATCCAATTCGTAGGCAAGTATCTTTCTTTTCCCGAAAATTAACAGTTATTGGAAATGAACATAACTTACGTCAGCCGATCCTTTTTGATATAAAAGGGTCAATCATGCGTTAAGCCTTCTTCTACATTTTAAGACCCACGATCAATGTATTGATCATGATGGCTCCTATGTTTAAGCACGTAGCTACATTTGTTAAGCCTATCCAATATTTCGAATCATAACATTTCGTGGTGCGTTTTAAATCAATTATATTTATTTTGTTTTTTTTAGTTTTGAGGAAACTGAAAGAAAAACAAGACCGTTGCTACTGACACACACTTATAAATAATTGCAATTGACATATATAATTTAATTCTTCCCTAAATGTTGTCTCTGGATATCCAAAATAGCAAAATAATAGTAAAATTATGTTTTAGGCTTTCTTTCAATAATTTAAAATGTCTTGCATACTAAGACATAAATAGTGACATTGTAAATCAAATACCTTTGGTAAAAAAATGTTTTTGGCACATTATTTTTGTTTTGCTTTGTCATTTATATATAATTTTAAATAAACTTACTTCTTCAGTTTAATGAACTAAAATAAAATACCATAAATGACATCCAAAAAGCATTTAGTCTAAAGGGAAACGGGTTCGAATGGCACTTTTAAGTGTCCGGATCCCTTTTTACTTTAAACCCAACATTTCACGTCTCATACCATGATCCGAATAACCATTTCGTCATATATATATATTTTAAAGTTACGTTAATATGTCGATACACATCTATATGGCCAAAGAAACGCCCCTGCATGCATATATTCTAGACCAGGTGAAAATCAATATTAAGGTACGATTTTTGAATGACATGAAGTGTTACGGTATGAGATCAGCTACTGAAGGAGTTTTATTTAACGAAAGCACAATGTAAGCTACTGTAAATAAGTCTGTAACTAAGATCTTTATTTTTATCGTTAATATAAATTAATTTATATAGGCTTTATAGAGCAACCTTGAAATTATTTTATTCTGCTGACACACAGGTTAGTGTTTGGATCTTTAATAGTAAATCTAATGGTACTTATAGGTATTATAATAAAGTAGACCTTATTTAAATACAGTATAACATAAAAACAATGACTTAAAATAAAATTTAAAAAAAATAATAATATTAAATGAGAGGTGACAAGTTTTAAAGACATGTTAAAATTGATGAAACATTTTATTGCTAGTAAACACTATTGCTGTAATATACAATGTAATTAATTGTTGACACATTTAGTTCTCTTTTTCTTGTTCTTTTTCTCATTTTTGCTAACTAACGAAATTTCATTTAGTGTGTTAATGTAAAACGATATATAGAAAATAGTTTTTTTAAGAAAAGTGCCAGATGTTGTATTGGTGGTATATATATATATTAATCTAAATGGATTGTTTATATCCCTCGCGTTCACAAGGAAATTACAAACTGTTAGATCAGACAAGGGCAAATTTCGACCCTATCGTAAAAGTATAATAACATGTCAACTAAGTCGGTGTTTTTTGCAAAACTAACCTATTTTTACCAGTCTACATTCTCTTATTGCGTCACATCACATACCTAGCTAATAATATTCACACATATAAGTTTAAACATTCATGAAAACAACGCACAACTTCCAGTCATACATTACAACAACATAGGCCAATCCGATAACATTGTTCAATCAAAACACAGGACAATTATCCTCATTCACTCACAATATCAAATATCCCTCGTAACAAGAAAATCAATAGCTAATGTATGCAAAATTATATAAGTAGTAATAATGAAATATTATGGAACAGTTTTGTATGCACAAATAATTCAAAAATAACGTGTCTTCTATAACAATGTATATTTTAAACGACCCAATTAGTGAACCGTATTGATGGTTTCATATGCCTGCCATATCTTGTTGCCATTGACCTGGGATAGAATTGATTTCACTTGGTACTGACATTTCTATGGCAGTGTCTCTTTTAACTTCTTGATTTGTAGCTTCTAGTTCATTGTCTGCATCGCGGCTGTCCAGATTGAACATATCTGGAGCCCCACTTCAACATGTTCCATTTCCGCCGATGTGTCATTTCATCTGGGTATTTGATAATGTATTACCTTGGTGTGGGGGCTTCTGAGCCAATTAATGCTGGCTTCCAAGAATTTAAAAATGTATTACGCTGATTATTGGCGATCTAAAATGTGAGTGGCATATAAATAATGCCCACCACTGTGTTAAAACATCAATAATCAACGTTGAAATCTGAGAGCTAAAAAAAATCTTTCAATCGAAAATAGACAGGATAGTGTTTTATGTATTCTTAAATTTTTTTTGTAAACAATAAAGCATTAACACAAATCCAAATATACATGTAACTAGTTCTTCAAACAAGTTTAATCAATGCACATCTCCAGAACACACTAAACACACATGCTTTTGGCAGGCCCTGAGCATGTTCTTTGCTCGCATTGGTTATCCATTTAGACTGTTAAGTCCTATAGTCTAATATCACAACACCCCGAAAAATTATCCAAGAACAAAGGTGCTTGATGTTGTGTTTGAGACCTTATCTGTAAGATATATTATGAAGGAATTGGATGTCGAGGTTCATCTTCTTCATAGGTGGACTCGGAGTTGCTGAGCGTGTTAAAGATAGATGACTGAGGACTCAGGTAATAACTTCCTGTCATTACATCTAAAGCTGGTTTAAAATCTTCTTCTGCACCGTAACTGGGGCGAGCGTGATGTTAACGTCTTTTCCATGTGTTGTCATTCGGGTAGAGCTTTACCATAAAAAAAGTTAAGTGTCTTTTGTTCTTCCATATATTCTGACATAAAATGGATTTCACTGGTTAAATGATTCACTAGGACATCTATATTCCCCATTACAGACGGCTATTTTTTTAATGTTCTCTCTGTTTTCTAATAGCAGAAGAGGGAAATAGAACATCATTAACGTTTCTGATTTTCAGATTTTCAGCAGTTACCTAGGTGATAATCACTTAGCCAAAGATGTCCTATGGTACTGGCGTAGAAAGTATTGAAGAGATTCTTTTAAAGTAATGATTATATCCTAAGTGAACTCTTGAAACTCTAAGCAGCTCTATTCGTAACGGGATAATAGGAAACTCGAGTGAGATGTAGAATGCCTCTTTATTTGCACTACAGCTGAGATTCTTGTGAGATGAAGCCCCTAGCCTTATCAGTTACGATAGCCTAAATGAAAAAAAATCTTCCTACAGAAGATCAGCCATGTTTTTGGTTGATATGGTTGTTGTCCTGTGTATACACGGACAATTTGATTAAGCATCTATCATTATCAACCAATATGATAGCTTAAATAAATTCGCATTATTCATATGCACTAGACTTCATGTTTTTTCATTTATCATCTATTTTTTGCAGATACTGCTTTTCTTAGGTCTTTCGTGTGTTCTGCACATGCCAGACGTGTTTGACCCATACTTATTATTTAAGCATCAAACCCCGTCCAATACACATGTGTATATGGCTCACTGCTTTACGCTAAATTTCAAATTATCCTATATGCAGGATTTGGAGAACCTGATACTGTAGAATATTTTGTACCATAATTCTTGGCCAATAAATCTATTATAAAGACTATTTTATACCACTGAGAAGTAGGCTGGCATATTTTAAAAAGCTCATAAAATGTACGTCATTGTTCAAGAGTGCTTTGTTTGTTGAGTACGGCATGACCTCTTTAGAAAATATGATTACTATAGTAACATTAGAGTCTTTGCGTGACTCTTTAGCAAGGACCCATGCCATCTGTGTGTCTGATCTCCAAGCTGTCTTGTTTAATTATAATATTATATATACAGAATCAAGGCTGTTTAACTTTATTAACCATTGAAAATTTCACCTGAAGGCCCTGAAGTATTTGACTAAGAGCACACAATTTTTAATCTTCAGTTGACTTCCAGAATTCAATGATACAGTCGTATATTGACTCAAGGTAAGAGCTCATTTGACAAAACGATTTGCCACCAGGGCTTATGTTTCTTTTCCTTTAGAAAAATATACTGTTCAGTTGTTAATATTCGGTTACCAAAACAAACTTCCTTCCAAACAAATATTGATGTAACTTCGATGTGCAAAACTAAAGGACAGTGGCTTCTTCTGAATCTTCCTATTTTTGCGTTGTGTCCCTGTGAGAGTTTGTAAATGTTAGCCATAAGGCGTTCACTACCGTCAAGGTATCTGTGGAGAAGAACACTGTCCAAACCAGCATTAAAGCCGTCACACGCTATGCCTATGTCTAGAGTTGGATAAGAGTGAGCCAGAAATGTATATTTAAAGAGCAGCTGATTGACGTTTCTAAAAGTTTTCTCTTGATCAGTTTTCCAGCTCATGATACGTTATTTTTTGTTAACTAATACCGTGGCTTGAATGCAGTTGGTAGGTCTGGTAAGAACTTTTTGCGAACAGCCATTTTAACAAGAAATCACCGTAAACTGTAAATATCTATGTGTAACGATATTGCTATAACTGCATCTACTTTTGCCACTTTGTATATGCTATTGCTTGATAATTTATACTTTAATATTCGATACATTGCTGGAAATATTTGCATTTTCCATCCTGCAATTTCAGCCATTTAATTCAATCTCTTTAGTATCTTGTGGAGGTTGCTGAAATGGTCTTCCTTAATGTTTCCTCTTTCTAGAAAGTTGTTCATGTATTTAGTAGTAGTACTCACGTCAAATTCTTGCCAGTTTGTCTATGATTTCTTGGAAATAAACTGGGGATGAGTTTAATCCAAATGCTAGACGTGTTAGCAGTAATACACTTGTATGTGTGCTTAAGGCTAACTTCTCTTGAGATTCTTTTGCCAGCTTGATTTGATTACATGAATCAGCCAGGTCTAATGTCCTGCTAACAAATTTATCATCAGGGTTCCGGTAATGGCATGGAGTCTGGGTCGTTTTTAGAGCAGCGGAGACCCGTTTGGTACTGTAACCTTTGTTTATAGGGACAAGATATCGAGGGCGCTGAACGAAAAGGGGGGTTAGAGTTTTAGCAAGGTCTCATTAAGCCACTCCATCAGTCATCAATTTAGTAAATGCCTCGTCACGTTAAGGAGATACCCTAGCGTGAGAAGAAACCCTACCAGCTCATGACTCATCTGGGAATCAAACTGTGAATAAAAAGGCATTTCCGTGAAGTGAATAGTCGGTTCAAGACACACCCTCTTAAATATACTGAAACACAACTTGATGAGAAAATAATTATAACATGTGTAGACAGACCTTACGGGAACAAAATAAATCACGCAGATGTGAACTAAACATAGTCATAAAAATAGCTCCTTCCAGCGGCATAACTTACGTAAGATCTTCATGAACCGAAAGTCGACTTAGTTCATGTGTCTGTAAAATTTGGCAATATAGATGGCTTTTATTGGACTTGTAGTTGCTGTGATAGGATCCCGAAATAATAAAGAACTGTTTTAGTTATCTTCATTGAGCCTTGTTAATGTACTTAATTCTTAGTTTTGACCCTTTGGATTTTTTTTTTTCATTTTCCTCCAAGTGATTGTCGCAAAGCCTGCTATCGAAATCAAGTTCGAATAATATTTTAATTATTTTTGAGCTTTAAACTTTCATTATTATTTGCATTAATTATATAGTCTATATCTCTTAGAGTTTTTACAAAATTTCAAGGGGAGAAATTTAAATTTTTACTTTTATAATTTTCAATGCATTATTAAGGGTCCTTATCTTACTTATAATTAAAACGTCACATTAAAGAACGGTCACTCATCATGGTCTTTAATTTACCTTTAACGTAAACTATAAAGTTAAGAGATCTTGTTTTAGATATTTTATTCTCTTAATAATGACTACATTAAAAAAAAAAAAGGGTTTTTTTTTAAATTATACATTGTTTTACATAGTTATAAAGATTATGAAAATGTCCATGGGTAATTAAAGTTTATGTACAGTTTTGTTAACATTTATTGGATTGTAATACCTTTCAGGGGAATTTCCCCAATATCGTTTAATATAATATCTTTTTTTTTTTCAGTTTCTGGTTCCAAAACGTTGGATTATTTTAAAAGATATAAGTTTATATAAATGTCCTTATCATGTTTTTTTATATTTTTCTTAATAGTCTAAGAATTTTATCAAAGTTCTAAGCTCATAAATAAAGAGAGTTTTGAATTTTTTCATGGGTGGAGGAGGTTGTAGAAGGTATTTTCCTTATAATCGCTTCAACTTCATTTAACGCTAATTTTACATAACTGACACATAAGTAAATTTTGCTTCTTTTGCAAAATTAGTAAGCTTACTTTTCGTATTTCCTTTTAAAATATATCGGTGGATTTCACACAAAAAAATAACCATGTCAATTTGTTTAGAGGGTTTCCTAGTTTATAAATCAAAAATGTTTTTCCTTTTAATTTTTTTTTCATTTTTAAAGCGGTGTTTATTTAAATGAATAGATACAATGTACATGTTCAAAGAAACACAATTGTTAAATGCATAAGTATTAATTAAATAAAGAGGCAAGTATAATTATATCATTTATTTTTGAGTTCACAATTAAGATACAAATATTATACATGCATTTAAGTATTTCTTGATTTTAACAAAATTTATAAATTACTGTAATATATATATCACACAATCAACGCAACTAATTAAACTTTGTTTTCCTCCTATTTTTCTTTTTTTTTAAGCGGTAAAATTCAACAGGATTGAAATGGTTCTATAAATGTTTTTTTTTTTTTCTTGTGAGAAGATAAGCAAACAACATTTATGGATCAATATCACATAAGAGGAAATTAAAAGAAAATTTTTTTTTTTTTTTTAGCGGTAAAATTAAATAGGATTGAAATGGTTTTATAAATTTTTTTTTTTTTTTTCCTGTGAGAAGATAAGCAAACAACATTTATGGATCAATATCACATAAGAGGAAATTAAAAGAAACAGTCGCTGCAAAAGTATGGCTTCATTACAGAAAGACGGCGAAAATGTTAGCGAACTTGAACTTGACAATCCTGAGATCGACGGTAATTTTGCTTTAAAAATAACATAAAAATAGAATTATTCATAGATAGATGAGTGGATTGATTTTTGATAGACGGAAAAACTGGGGGGCTGAAGAGAGGCAGAGTGTGAGCGAGTCATAGAGAGAGAGAGTAAGATAGACTTATAAAGAGAAATAGAGATATAAATGGTGAGACGGATAGACAGATGACTTATGACATCAAATTGTAAACTTAGTTTGTTTTAATACATTTGTTACATTTACAGATATAAAAACGAAGCATTATTTTTTTTTTTAAATAACGATCATAACTTTTCGGTTAAAAATTGTATTTTACTACATATAAATTTGATTTAAAAATAAAATGCCCATGCAATGTAACTTGTCACAATGTAACTTAAAAGGTATAAGAGCCACAGAGACATGTTAACTTTCTTTTAACGATCTCTCTAATCACTACCTATCGTAAGTTACCTCAATAATGATTCAACTTCTATCCTCTATTCATTGGACGTTCTTATTTTAAAAATCCATATCATTATGTATGCATCACTTTAAAACGTATATCTATTATTTTTATCCAAACTTATTATTTCCTTTATATCTCCTAACCTGAAAACACATATATAGTGGAAAGGATCAACGTTCTGCTCCTCTAAGTAGTTTGTATATTTTTACCCACCAAATCACGCCCAACCCACTCCCCCACCCACCCAAAGCGGTATGTTTTTGTGTTTTTCCCTGTATAGGCTGCTTGTTTAGTTTGTAAAGCTTTTAAAATTTATTTTTTTAAAGACGCGTTTCTCGCAGTGTTCAAAACACATGGAAACATCACAAAAAGCTTTGTCATTTAAAAGTAGATGCATCTATTTATTGGTCTCGATTAAGTTAGGAGACTCTCCAGCTCTTGACCGATAGCTACCTGTAAAAGATTATTTATGACTCATAGTGAAAGGAAAAAGAAGTGATTCCAAATGTTTTAAAAATTGTAAGCACTGTGTGGAATAATATACTCCTGTTCAGTGATCATCGGTAATTCCTAGCTCTTAAATAGAGGGGCTGTGGGAGTTTGTAATAATGTTAATCCGTAAGACTATAAAAAAAACTGTTGCCCAGTTTTCTCAAATAAATTTTCCGCACCCAGCGTAGCTTGCCCTTTTTATTTCTGTTACTAGCGAGTGATCTTATTTAGACTATACCCTTCCTGGTTGGTTCGTATTCTCCATCTATATTCATTCTTTCTTGAGTACATTTTTCTCTAAAGTATTTGACAGGTTTTCTGTCGTTTTTTTAGGTTCAAAGATTCCCTTGCGTATGTTACAGCCGGTCAGATTACAGTTTTATTTATAGTTTTCTTAGTTTTTCTTGCTATGTTTTAACTTTTAAGTACTTTCTGACATCTGAAGAATGCCTTGTTTCCGGCCGATATTCTTTCTTTTTTCGGTTAGTAATTACTTTATTTCATAGTTATTTTAATGGACTTATTTTTTCCAATGTCTAATTTCTAATTTTAATGGTTCCATCCGTCTGTTCCTCTCTTATCATAGTCATGTAGTTTGGTTTTTTAGATGTTGTTAACTTTCTGCTTGTAGTGTTGCGTCGTCTAATTAAAGGCTTTTGATATGTCTTTACTATTTTTTCCCTAATCGTGCTATGTCATCAGTACATGCGAGATAATAAATGGTTTTTTTTGTAGCGAGAGCCTATAACGTGTGGGTCTTGTGTCAGAACGTGTCCTGTTATTGTTGCTCAGGTTTCAAGTCAATATATATGTTTCTTATAACTCTCTCTAATGTAAGTTTAAATAGGATACAATATAGTGAGTCTTCTGGTCTTCATCTATTCTAAAATGTCATGGAATACTCTCAATGAACCTTGATTTTGCATTTTAATTTTTAAAATGTTTTATTTATCGGTCGTGTCAGTTTTCTGGATATGCCAAACTCCTGCAGAGTCTCATATAGATATTATCTTTTGATGCTGTCATAGACCATTTTATATTCCACCTTAAGTAGATGTACTCTCCCTCCATTTTCAATAAGTTCTGCTTTGATAAGACGTGTTCCATGGAGTGTGTTTATTATTATTAAATTGATTACTTCTGTAGCTTTATGCAAATTTAGGGAATTATTAAAGAATCTGTTCTTTTATGTGGTTTTTGATAATCTTCAACTTTCCAACTGTCTGCACTTAATAAGCCCTCAAAATATTTAGCCCGCCTCTCCGGTACTTTACTATTTTCCGTAATTAATTGTTCATCATTTCCCTCACAGATTTGAGTTTTGGGTTCGTATCGATTCTTTTCATATGTTATCTTCATCTAAAGACCTCTGAAAGTTCGCTCTCTTGATAAGTAAGATCTTCTAGTGTGTAATAAATATATAAATATAACATAATGATTTCCATCCTATTTGACTTATCACTTTTTTAGCGACCGTAGTTCCTGACTTCCCAGAGTCAACTGAAGACTTAGAGGAAGACAATGCAGGTAATTTTGTATACATTTGTTGGAATGTGATATCACTTTTAAAGATATTTAGATGTAATTGATTATTCCAAATATTGAGTATACTATTTTAAAATTGCACATTTTAAAGATGCATTCTAAATGTACAAAAGTCAGTATTTCAACCAATAATTACATGCAAGTATACGTTTCACGACCAATAAGTTAATTTTACAAAAATCCAAAGTACTTATTCTATGAATTTGTTTTGAGAAATTGTACTATCTTCAACTATTTTTATAAATAGAAACGCATGCTAATTTTTTTAATTTTTAACATATTTAAACTTTTCAGGACAATCAGTAGTTCATTAATTTATACGACAATGTAATTAGAAATATTATATTGAAATGCGTTTAAAAAAATTGTACTGTATTTCTAAATAAAAAAATGTATATTTCATGTAATTTTTTTCGATTTTATTTCAAGGCTTAAACAAATAATAATGATATCTTAAATCTTATTTTTTGTTAAATAAATGTTTCTTTGCTCATATTTATATTTGCATATATATATATATATATGCATACATATATATATATATATATATATATATATATATATATATATATATATATATTTTATATATATATATATATATATAATATATATATATATATATATATATATGTATATATATATATATATATATATATATATATATATATGTTTTATATATGTATATATTTATTTACATATATATAAATGTATATATATATTAGAATTTTTTTATTATAAGACATTAAATTAAGTCTTGATACCAGGGGATGATAGAGCAATTGACTCAACGAGAGCTACCTTAAGAGCAACTAATGGTAAATATAAATTTAATTTAAATGTTGAGTTGATGGTTAACTTTATCATTGTTTATGAATTTGATATAATTTTGAATTTAGTAAACGATATTATTTTTTTTTCAAACACGACAATCAAATTAATGTCAACTATTTTTGCCACGGTCAATAAATGATTACCACAGAGTTTCATTAAAATCCCATTGAAAGAAAATTGAAATTGTATGAATGTTAAAGTAATGAGAAAACATTTTAATATTAATCTCATATTGTTTTTGAGGTGAAGCTTCGTCAAGATAGCTTACATTTAGCATATAATTTTTTCGTTTCCAGCAAAGCGAGCTCTCTTTATGAACTTCTACGAAAAAATATTATCTTTTTTTTTTCACTTTCTTTTTTTTAAAAAGAACCATAATATGTTATATATTATACCTAAAATATATGTTAATGTTTGGGAAAGTATCTCTCTCTCTCTCTCTCTCTCTCTCTCAACCTCTCTCTCTCTCTCTCTCTCTCTCATATCAATATATATATATATATATATAAGTGATGTGACCGAGTCTATCCCACGGCTGTGGTCAGGATGTCAATCCCCAACACAGACCAATTAAAGCAGAAACAACACCAAAGCTCTTGTTGGATGGGATCCGATACACTTGCATGGCGACTCATCTAAGTGAAGGTAACTCATAATCGAAACCAGGAGAAGGAGTCCCGTAGGCGGATATAGTAAATCAATGAAAAATTTCGACAACGCCTGCGACGCAACTGGTGCAAAACGTTATCATCCCTTGGGCTATCCAGACTAATTGCTGCCTTAGGAACAAGCTTATCGTCGTTTTTCAATTAGTCTCTCAGATCTCTGTTTAAAAATATACATACATATATTAATAACAAAGATATTTTTAGTATTCAAAATCTACATATTTGCTCATGATCTTACAGAGACATTCTGAGATTAAATAGTTCAAAACCTTTGTTAATTCTACATAAGTTGAAAAGAGCTCAAAATATTGTTCATGCCACTTTTCCCACAGCTGTCTGGCATTCAATACCATGTCTCTATTCCAGGGCTTTTTTAAAAAAACAAGCATTGACATTCGTAATATGTTAATTAGGACTTTAGGAGGATTCTAGCTAGTATCTTGTCTGTAATGGAGAGCAAAGTTATGCTGCGGTAGTTGTAACATACTGACGTTCCGTTTTCGATTGTACATGTGGACGACGGATTTGTCCTTTAAATTTTATTGCTCCTTCTCTTCTGAATCCCCTCAGTCAGAGTTTTACAGACTACCTGTTAAATTTTAGCTGGCTTTGAATAATCCCATTCAGCTTTGCCACTTTAAATTAGGATTATGGCTTGTAGCGTTTTATTTACTCTTTCCTTTCATGATTAATGGGTACCTGCGGTAGTTTATTTCTTGCAGTGTCTTTGACTGATAAAGGGCGACCTTAGAAGCTCTCAAAGTACTGTGAAGAAAAATGATTTAATATCAACCAAAATGTCACTTCTACCACCGGTCTTTTTTCAAAGCTAGCGCAAAACTATTATGCAAATACATTTTTTTTGTCACTTTCCAGTATCTTTTTATCATTGTAAAATTTTGCGCTGAAGAGAAAGTCTAGCAATGAGGATAGATAATTTCAGGAGAAGTGGGAGACGGACTAAGTTTTTTTAGAGCACAGAGACACTCCGACATGCCATATATGCACCGAGAAAAGTGTTGCACAAGGAGTACAACATCAGATGTCATATATTAACTAGACATGCTGAGGAGTATGAATAATAGTAGAAAGATGAGAGAGAGAGCCTGTGTCGCTAAACTTAAAACACGTCTGCTGAGGAAGCAGGATTTTTTCAAGAAACCAATCACATAATGTGGTGCAGCAGTTGAAGCTAGTTACGCGGTGCGTGAGATGATTGCTAAGGCAGGAAAGTCATCAAAAGAAGGCCAGTTGATCATGAATTGCATGTTTCAAGCTGAGAGTATACCCTGTCTGGAAAATACTTGTCAGCCTTTCATCAGCCTTTTAGCCAGCACAGCGGCAGGGTGCAATTCTGAACTGCCAGGTAACATTTATAATGACCTATGTGAGGAAAGTAAACATTTTCATGCTTACTGAGTCACTCTCTATGAGAGCACAGTGTCAAGGGTAGAGTAATCAAAGTTGTTCAGTTTGATATGAAAACGATAGTTTTATTTATATATTAACCCCTTTTTTAAAGGAAATGTAATATGTTTCACCTGTAATTAAACTAGCCAAAAAGGAACAAGTATTACTAGAGCATACCTTAAACTCGTTGCAAAGATCGACAGAACTCCCATTGATTTGGAAACTATGTTTGTTTGTTCTGTGGATTTTTTCGTAAGTATGAATTACGATATTTATTTTTTTTTTAAATAGTAATTGATAGTCCTTCTATTCTTAAACAGTATAAATATGTTTTTTTGATAAATTGATTAAACATTATTTATTAAATGAAATGAGTTAAACATTATAAAAACTACACAATATTGAATCACGATTAGCCGGTCAGGGTGTAAAGAATCAAGTGATTTTTAGAACACCTTTACTAGCCCCTTCATTATGCATGGAGGTGAGCAGTGCTGACCCGAATATGGCTCCTCAGACACTCAGGTGGCTGCCGAACTCCACTTCTGTTCCAATTAGAGAATAGCGACCCTACAGCCTAAGTCGCCGTGTGCAGGCTTGCGGCTACGATTCGCGTTGCACCACACCTGCTGCTTCGTCGCTCACAACGTCACAACCGGACATGAGCTGATGGATGCTTAATGACTGATGACTTGCGCGGATGACTTTTTTAAAGTGAGGAAGAGTTTCGGAGCGCTGGCCAAACTCCCTTCACTGAATGTTTGAGGCCCATCACGCCTTCACCTGGTTTAGCCAGCCAGTGGAAGCCATGCCGGATGTATGGCCGCTGTTGCATGTTAACTGGGGAGCCACGGGTGAGAGTTGAGTGACAGGAGAGGACCGAGGTGTACAATCTAGGACCTCCCTAAACGCGTTCCCCTTATAAAATTGTTGAAGCTATAATAAAACAAATTAACTCCCGGCTTCGACAAGATGGCAGTATATTAAAAATAAGATCATAAAAGTAAGAAAATCTTAATTTCAATGAAAATTAATTGTAGGAAATGGTCAATTAAGTTTAAAATATACTTATGACTTTGGTCAATTATGTGGAAAATATACTTATGACTTTGGTCAATTATGTGGAAAATATACTTATGACTTTGGCCAGGATCAGAATTTTTATTGTCAGCAAAGCATTTTTTTCCTTTTAAAGACAACAACTTGATAGATATACTTATACACTAAAAAAGGGAAGAGGTCATTACAAAAAGAAACATGCCATGAAAGTGGTCATAAAATAATGATCTTTTTAAGTCTAATGGGTTAAATCACTACTGTTTCCAAAAATTTCTAAAGTTTTATGACTCAGATTATAATAATGTTACATTTTAAGCAGAACTAAGATGGCTGACCCTTGCTAAAATCTTGAAAAAGATTTTTTTATTCCTAGCAAAAAAATACAACCTTTTTTGCAAGCAAGTAAATAAGGGACCCAAAGATTTAAGACGAGAGTTTTGTGACTTTGTATTTCACAACGATATAACTAGCCACCCAATTGACGTAAATCATCGTCTACATGTGAAATAACAATTAATAAATAATATGTATGATAATATTTCTGCATTTCAAATAGAACCTGGTCTTTTATGAAATTTGTTGAGGACAAAAATCTTTACTCCCTTTCCTGCATTGTCATTGCAACCAGACATCATTTATAAGGCGGCGTATTAATAAGCTTCTTTGAAAGCTGACTTAAACCTTGAATTTGATAAAAACGAATACATAATTATTTTTTTCACAAAAAGCATCTGTTTTTTGTGCATTTGCAGCGCCATTCGCGATAGTTGTGAATTTATTACCCAGAAGATTACAAATGGAACATTGTGAAATGTGTTGTGATACACAGTTTAAGGATAAATTCCATCACGCTGGTTTGGAAGAGTTCTATAAAACGTATTTGGCAAAGATAAATATCCTTCGTTTTACAAACATTCTCTGTCGATGGTGTCACTATTTGGAAATACTTATGGTGTCACTATTTGGAAATACTTATGGTGTCACTATTTGGAAATATTTATGCGTGTGAACAGCTTTTTCAGTTAAATTTAAGCTTATCAAATCACAAGTCAGTGAGATCACGAATTCTTGATATTCATTTGGTAAAATGTTTGCGTCTAGTGCATCCGTCGAGATGAGTTTTGATTCACTTAGTTCTACAAAACAAAAATCAGATTTAAATACTTTTAAATTTTCTAAGGAGTATTTTTGATTCTCAATTAAGTTGTTTAAGCATTTTCAGGCGCGCTCTTTTTTTTATACAATGTATATTCTTAATAAATTCAAACTAATAAAAAAAAAAAAAAAATCAATTTTAAATACTTTTAATTTTTCTAAGGGGTTTTTTTTATTCTCAAATAAGTTTTTTAACCCCCCCATTCCCCCCCCCCCCCCAAAAAAAAAAAATAATTAAATAATAATTTAAAACAAAAATATCTGCAGGAAATATAACTTCTGAAAAATTTTGGCCGTCCTTGTCCTAGGTGATTAAAAGTTGACTCTATTGGAAAATGGGGAGACGATTGCTTTGCTTTTAGTGTTGTTAAAAGATATTGAATTAGAAGGTTTTTAGTGGGTTTTTTTTTTTAAGTTAATGGTTAACGAAAGACTTCGTAAGAGATGTATATCAATTAGAGAGAGGTGGTGTGATAGTTGAAATTGTTTTTTTGGAAGGGAGTGCGATATAATAGGAACTGAAAGCAATTTCGACACAGTCATACTAAACCCGTTACGGAAAGATTCCAAAGGACGATTGTGACGTCTTTGGGAGAAAAAGAAGATATATTATTTGACCACCTTAAATAATCTTAACAAGTGGTTTCATTCATTAAAATTAATCCATTATTAACACATTTTCTTGTATTATTCAACCAGTTTATAATAAATGCTACATATAATAAATATCTTGGAAAATCATTAGATCAAGTTACTTTATTCAGACTTCCTGGCAACGAAAAAACGCGACATTAGGAGCGATATTCGTAGCCCATATTCCAATTTAAAGCTTTTTATATAAATGCTAGGATGTGTAGAATTTAATTCTATGAAATTAATATATGCTTTTCAATTTAACATTTTTTAAAATGTCAAATTTAATATATAAAAAGAAGTTAGATAAGATTCAATTATTGATCTAACAAAATTGATTTTGATTACATTGTACGTAAACTGATAATTATTAATACAAGCATAAAATATGTACATATATATCTCTAACTAAAACATTAGAAAAAGAAAACTTATAGAACTTAATTTAAGAGCGGAATGAGAATGAAGATACAAGAATTCATACCAAGCCAGACTGCAAAAGTGTCTGAGCCAGGAAGGACAATTAATTACGGAAAATAGATAATTACTGGAGAAATCGGTTGAATATTTTGTGGACATACTACAAGCAGACAATGGACAACACGAAGATTATCAACCATAACATGGAGCAACAGATTCTTTTATGAACTTGCAAGAAGAAACTATAAAAGTTATAATTTCTATAACAAGCCACAAAGCCAATGGAGAAGAGCTGATCACAGCAGAATTTTTTATATATGGATAAATAGAATTACACAATCAGACACAAATTTATAACTACGATTTGGCAAGAAGAGAAAATTCCTACAGAATAGGAAACAGCATTAATAATCCTAACACACAAGAGAAGTTCCAAACTTCTTTGTTTAAACTGCAGAGGAAACTCCCTATTAAATGGTATGTAAAAATTAATAACACAACTTTTGTCCAAAAGACTACAACCGTATACTGAAGAAAAACTGGGGTAATACCAATGTTGATTCAAGCAAAACAGAACAACGAATTATCAATAAAATTTCCCCATCAGAAATCAATAGAGAAATGTTAAGAATAGAATATTACAGTAAATTAATTCTATGAGGCCTATTCAATGACATATGACAGAACCAAATGAAATGTCCGCAGAAGTTTGGAGTAAAGTGGGAGCACCATCAAGACACCAATGAAAATGGCTAAAATTGAGACCTAAAGTTAGAAGAATGAATAATGTAGAAAATGATCTAAGGCAGCATGGAAAACAAAAAAAATTAGTTATGTCGTTGTGGAAGAAAGTGGTGAGGCATGCTAAATCTCTACATTGGCTTTACGCAACATGGATAGATGGATGAATAAGTAAATATAATATATATATATATATATATATATATATATATATATATATATATATATATATATATATCTGGGACAAGATTTTGGTTGAAGACTAAATAAAAAAAAATAAAATAATAAAAAAAAAAAAGTGGTGAGGCATGCTAAATCTCTACATTGGCTTTACGCAACATGGATAGATGGATGAATAAGTAAATATAATATATATATATATATATATATATATATATATATATATATATATATATATATCGGGGACAAGTTTTGGGTTGAAGGCTATAATAAAAAGGATAATAAATTATGAAAAAAAATGTTGTTAGTAAATATCGTTACAATTAGCATTCTTTAGAAAAAATGAAATTTGTATTTGTTTTTTTTTCTAAATATACATTTAAAAGCATTGGAAGAGATTCAATTTTACTTGAGGTTCCATACATTAAAATCCGATTCAGTACCATACCTAATTTTAGTTTGTAGATTTTGAGACCTCCAAATAGGACAAAAAGATTGTAAAGCAATATGCTATTTCCATTATAACTGAATAAAACCTGGACATTTCTTCCAATATATAAATCGGTATAAATCGAACAAATAAAATTAGATTAATATATTTATTTTATAAGATAAACTCTTTAAATGTATTTTTAGAGGCATTTTGTTCCTTAAAATTAATTCTTCCTTGATATATTTTTTTACGAAAGCTTTTTTCAAAAATACCACTTCGTTTTTAAAAAAAAATAATATATATATATATATATATATATAAATATATATATAATTAATGATGATAGCTACGTTTCATTTTTTTTCAAGGATTGTTATGAGAATATTATTCCGATTAGATTCCATAACCATTTCCCACCCCCGACTAATTTTCAAGTGCCAAAAACATGTCTATGATAATTTTTTTTTGGTTAAAAATATGTTTGCATCCGTTTATGCTTAAAATTAAATAGAGCAGCTTCTAATAAGCATATGTCTTTTTGTCATGTGAGTCCATTTATTGTACTTTTGAAAATAATTGTTTTTTAAGAGGAAGACTAAGAGCCATTCGGAAGATGAGATTTGAGGCAAGGAGGAAGAAAAGTTGGACTGAATTAGTAAGGATATACCATAAAAGGTAAACATGAGAAAGTATTGTGCATGGGGAATGAGAAAGCTAATAAGCAAGCTGTGCATGATAAAAAAAGATAACCAATTTGTATTTTATTACATTTTTGTCAGAGATAGATAAGTTCTCTACTTAGATTGCATTATTTCATTCATAATTTTAAAACAATAATTCTACGTCTCTCTTGATAACTTTATTCATAAAAACAATTTCAAAACATCGCATTTCTGTTAGGAGAAAATGATCAAACATTATGGTATTTAAGTTGCATTAAGGGGTCTAAATATAATTAGAGTGATTTCCTTTACATTATTTGTATGCCACCAAAAGATGATATTAATTATTTTTTTGACGATGTCTTCAGCGCAATGAAGTCTGGTCGATTTCTTTTCTTTCGAAAAAATACTAATATTTCTCAATTAAAAGTTTGACTGCTAATTTTTTAGCGTAGTTTCAAAATATCCATTAAGTTATTATTTTGCACGTACAAATTTGATTTAGATTATTAGGAGACATCTACTGTATCAAGCTCAGAAATTGATGAAAAACAGGCAGATAAAATTATCGTAGCCTTAAATACATGTGATGTTAGTGAATCCTGGGGCATGTTTTTAGATTTCATTTTACGCTACTTATATGACCAAACCTCAGGCTTTTAACAATGGCTTATATATCTATTGGTTATTTTGTCTTCTGTTGACATTCAATTTGCAGGTATAGCAAAAAGTAAAAGGATTTTTATATTAAACAATCTCGGCTGTGATCTAACAGCGCACATTAGAAAAAAATGTTGCTGATATGGTAAAAGATAATAATTCATAGACTTCATTCAAGTTATTTAAAATGAAGTATAAGAACAAGATATGCTAAACTTTAATTAAAACATAGATTGTTGTATCCTTACAAATTTTGGTCCGTTAATGTTATCTAAATTATTTTTCACAGGATCAATGTGTTTATTCTTTCACTCCCTATTAGCCTACTTCCGGCAACAAAACGAAATCTCTAGAGTTGTTTACATACTGGGCTCTTTTATTTGTCATACTTCTTTTTGTCTTGTTTGGTGATGAAGGCTCCAAGCTGAACTTTTCAAATATTTAGTCATTTCCATTAACTCAAGTTTAGCAGATCTTGATTTTATTTTTCTGATATGGAAAATTCGATAAAATTTTCGAAACCAGCTAGCGCTCCAGACAATGCTAAAGATCTATAACACAAGGCACTTGTCCAATTGATTTTTAGTGAGCCTGTATTATTATTTGTTATAGTAGAATCAACTAAAATAGCTCAATATTTTATACGTTTATTATAATTTTAAAATTATTGCTCAGATTTCTTTACAATATTTCATAAATTACGGACTTGTTTAATAAATTTACTTTGTAAAATTCTAAGCAATCCGTACTATTGTATCAATACTTTCATAAAAGAAACATTTTGTATTTTAAAAAATATCCCATTCCTTCAAAAGTTAAAATGCATTTTCCATTAAAGACAAAGAGAGACATTCACAAGCACCTCAGTTGACCACAAGCAGTTCAGAAAATAACCCAATAGAACTAGTGACAACAAACAGATGGATTTACTATTAACAGTCCATTACTCTCAACACTCAGCTGACCACGAAAAATTCACTTGAACACCGATGTAATTTTAAAACTCTATAAAACTAAAAGAACTCTTAACCAAAAAAAAAGAACTTTATTATTTTTCAAGAGATTTTTTTTTATTGGTGAAAACATTTTTACCTGGTGAAACTTTTTTATGATCTAGAGTTCTTACAATGGTCAAAAGTTCTCTTATTTGTCACGCTCTTGATCTGAATAAAATGTTTGCCCACGAATAGCAACATAGTTAAATTAAATTTAAATCAATTTGAGTCATTAAATTTTTTTCTACATCTTCAGCGTGCAGTCCAAACAAAATCGTATGGCGGAATGACTTCATCAGGATACATCAGAGGCTTAGATCTAAGTATTGTGTACCCAAAGCTTTTACACCGCCGATATATCAGATCTACATGTGTATCAGTCAATGGATGGGCAATAACTGTTAAATCAACCAAAATACTATACACTGTTATTTAAGGAAAATATCTATACATAAACTATTATAAATATCAAATTTCCATTGCAAAAAAAAAAATGTTTCTTAGGATTATCAACTCGGCTCAGTATATTTAAAACAAAATTAATGTTAAACCTGTGAAATACAAATGTAATTGCACAAATTTATCAATATCCATTGTGCCTATAAAAACAATTTTTATGTGTATTTGCAGTGTAATATGTATTATTTCAAATTGATGTCTCAGTTTTTATTCTTATTCTTGATACAATTTCTGGCAAGTAGTTATCTAATCACATAATTGACTTAATCTCAAATTTATTATCTTGCAAGATTAAAGGAAGTTAGTCATCCTAGCATTATTAATAATTTTTTTTAAGTTATGGTGTGTTTTATGATCTACCAATACCGTAAATATTGTACCCAATAGATACTTTTGTAGTCGCATTATAGACAAAACTATTGCTAAACATTCTAATTCCATAATATCTTATCTCATTTTAGGATCTGTCAATTTTATGCTTAAGGTATAATTCAGGTTCATTAATAGTATTGTATTGCTGCATTTAACATGCCTCTTTGCCTTCGCTAGAAGAATATGTGGCTTCAATTAATGATTTTTCATATGTGATTTGCTTTAAGAATGGCTCTGGTTAAAATTGTAAACATATTTGTTGTAAGGCTGTATCTGCTTCAGTCCCTAAGAAATATTGATCTAGATTCTAGGAGAAGATCGTGGTAAAGGTTTTGTATTTAATGCAAAGAAGAAATACAAATTAAGAAAAAAAAAAGTAAATAAATAATGTAATTAAGCGACAAATTTTGTCGCGCTGGACAACAGTGATATAGTAAGTATTCTAAAAGTTTAAGCTTATAACAATGTTATTCAAAACAAGTGCAAATGGCTCTGTTATTGGTATCGTAAAACGGTATTGTTAACTTAATTTATTCTAAGTATATTAAAATAAATAGTGGGTAAAAATCCACAGACAAACACTCAATTTATTATTATTATAATGATAAAAGTTATTGATTAAAATTATCTCAGGACAAGCAAACAAATTTAGTTATTGTTGAAAATAAGGAATACGACATTAGAAACAGTGCTAAGTAACATTAAAAGGATTTATTAAGTTACCAAAATAATTAGAAAATAAAATAAATGTATTTTAAAAAATATAATCATATGGTAGGTCTTGTACCAGTACACAGTTAGTATAATGGGCCCAAAAAAGCACAATGATGAATATGAATGAACACATATAGGCATACACAAAATAACACACTCAAGTTTCGTGAAGTCAAAATCTCCTGATCTCAATATTGCTTTCTTTGCTTTTACAGTCGGTTCTTCCGAAAATTCGAGGCGTATTCATGATGGTATTAGTATCTAAAACATTCCAAAAATTACTATCATTTTCTAAAGCCTTTGACTCAGCCAAAGCAAGCGATAGCTTTATTTGTGATAAACAAAATAAAAGAAATAAGCCACAACCAATACAAACGTAGCGTCTGCTAGGGATCTTAGAATGGGGGAAATATGACTTTAACACGTCATCACGTCATATATGACAATATATATACATTTTATAGTAGTCCCTCTATTGAATTCTTGTCACTGAAGACTTAAAATTTGCTCGGCTCTATGGCACAAATTTGGGACTGGAATGGAATTTTTAATATAAACATTTTTTAGCAAATAATATATCGACATTGATCTCAGTAAGCCCACTAGTATTTTTTAGATGTGTAGAATTGCTTAACTAAATATTTATTTTATTATAATTCCCATTATTAGTCTAATGAATTAATTTTACAAATAAGAAATGAGAGCCATAATTATACAAGTGTTCAAGTGTTACAAAAGAGTTAACTCCCCTCTCTCAATAACATATGTCAGCCTTTAGACTATAGGCATAAAGACAGTCCTGCACCGTTCCTGTTGACGTTTAAGCAACAGTCCTACAAAAAGATCTTCATACACGTCTACAGATAGTCCTACAACATTCCTACAAACATTCCTACATACAGTCATAAAGACAGTTCTAAAGATAGTCTTAAAGATTGTCCGACACCATACCCGTTGCTCTTTATAGATTAATATAATAGCCACGAGCTTATATAACCTTCTTAACCTTGGTTCAACCGTCCCGTCACTCATGGCAGATTGACTGACTATTTTTTTTCCCACTTAGTATTATTAATATAAATCATTGAGTATTACATGTGAAAGTGATAAATCAATCAGGCTTTCTGAATGTACGAACTATCTATGGTCATGGCATCCTGATAGTTTTGTTGCATTTATATGGGGCTTCCTGGAATGTGAACCGTAAAAAAATCATGTTGCCTACACGTGCATTGTTATTTAAAGCCTTTGCTTGAAGTTCCTCGCACAGATCGTGTTTTATGTCATCGGAGATAGCTGAGACTTGCGCCCTCTGTTTTAACGTACGCATATACAATGTTCTGTTGGAATAGTTTGCCGCAGGAATGCAAAATATAAAATGTATTTCTCATTGCTAATATGTACACTTCTAATTTACATTGGGTAAGGCTGATTCGCTTGGTGGTTCTTTTACGAGACACATGTTGTAAATCTTTGTGCCATCCAACATCCCCATAAGGAAATAAAAGCGGGTATATTGAGCGTGGAGATATGCTTACAGGAAGTGCCTCTGGGATGGATGCAAATGTCCATTTCGGCAAAGGGTTTGCCATCTTCTCCGACGAAAATCGCCGCAACTTTGGTGGGACATGTGGGGTCATTGTATCGTAGTGAATCAAGCCCAGGGTTTTACTTCAAAACCATTAATGCACATGCTGGTGGATTGGCCTGAGCGATTTTATGCATGTGTTTTTATGATTTAGCAAAAGGGTTGGTGATTCTGTGCATGGAATCTAGCTGGAAAAGTACATTTTCGCTGCATGCAGAGATTGCTTCATTTTATAAGTGTACTATAGTTGCTTGCACTGTGTCCAAAACGTACAACTGTGATTATCCAGGAGAGTTAGAAGTGTTAGTGTATAGTGGATATATTTTGTGATACATTTTGCTCTGCATTTTAAAACAGTATGGTCCGTGGCCAGGAGGCTGAGTTATACGTGCAGCTATGGAAAAAAAATACGCTAGAGAATATTTGTATTCTCGAATGTAGTCACGAAACTTTTTACCCCCTGAAGCTTGCTGCGTAAGAAGTTGTTATAAAGACACAGGTGGCTCCCGCAAATGGTGGTAAAGCTACTTTCACGTCGTAGCAGCATCGTGAGTACTTGTTGGATGTATTATGCTCAGCAGGCCAGTATAGTGCATCACAGTGTTTGCACACTGGTCTGGTTTCCCAGTGTTATATCTTAGTAGGGAAGACATATATTAGGTGAAGAAGTACCTGTGGTAACAGGAAGGGAGTTGTGTGTATGTCTGCTGAGACTGCGTTGGTTTGGAAACGTTGCTTTTCAGATTTTGCACTGCAAGAGTTGTGAATGAATTTTTATGTGCAGAGGGACAAAATCCCGTATAGTGAACTTCTTATTGCATTTTATAAACTCGTATTGTTTTAGGGAACAATTTTGAGTATTTTTTCGCGTTTGAAAAATTTGTTGCAGGAATTGCACGGGAAGAAGGTGCTACGGAAGTAGGAGTCAAGTTATATGTCAGCAGCGTGAAATTTTTGTGTTTTTGAAGATAGTTTTGCATTGTAAAACGTTTAGTACAAGATTTACTCTGAAACAATTTGTCGTGGCAGTGAATTGTATTTGTGTTTGACAAAAGAGGCTCGAGTTTAAAAATTGTGTTGCATTAATCGCACTGGATCAAGGTGCTACTGGAGTGGCAGTCAGGTAATATGTCAGTGGGTTGGGGTTGTGTGTGTTTTGGGGCTGTTAAACTTATAGTGCAAGTGTCAAACAATTTGTCGTGGCAGTAAATATTCTTGATTTCGGCTAGGCTGGATTTTGTTTTAAACGGTTTAAAAAAATGTCACTGAGGAAGGCTGTGGCTGTAGTAGAGGACGCCATTGTTTTTTATCTAAAAGAGAAAACTAGCTGAGGATGGATGTGTTGGTTTTATCATCAGACAGTATACGCTGCTGTGGAGACATGATAGGAATCGTTAGGATGGCATTATGTTTGGCCTTGTCCAATTGTCCTTATGGCAGATGTAAATGAATAATGTAATTCTATAATTGTAAATGCAAGGAGGAATGTGGGGGTCATGTTTGAATTAAATGACAATGGTAGCATTTAGAATCTCGGATTAAGCTTGAATTTCGTCGTCACTACCAGAAACGCCAGATGTTGAGATGTTTAATAGTACTCCTGATTAGTTGTGATAACTATAGTTTTGGTGGAAAGAACTACAGGAAGAGCGTCTCTAAATCTGTCCTAATGTAATGCAACGAAATCTACTGCCCTATGTCGTAATGAGAGTGCACTGGCTTATCAAACATTTTGTCAATAAATAACCCATATATAGTAACAGGCAGAGAAAGACTATCGTTCTTTTCATTATTCATTTTATTAATTTTTTTCCAAACCAATGATTCGTGTAGCAAAAGTCTCTGTATTAAATAAGAACTCCAATACTGCTACACTATTAAGTACGTCATTTTTATACACACATATACATAAACAAATTAAATACACAGCATATAGCAAATGCCAAGAAAATAATATCAGCATCGATTCCCTCATTAGAAAGCAGATACACGTTTTAGTTATAGCCCACCAAACTTTGGTGAAAGCAATACGTGAACTTCCAATCTACAAAAGTTACTTAAAAAAACATGAACTCTGGTAAGGCACATTTGAGAATTCCAATTTTTGTAACCCCCCTCTCACATGATACTTCACTGCACACTTGTTATGTCACGCCCATGACTTATATTAAATATTCTGAAGTCTAATAAATATCCTTATGTCCCAACCACTTTTAAAACGAATATTTTTTACACCTACTTATTTGAGACAATTTCATTT